GGCCGGCTCACGCAGCCCTGCGGGCGGCTCCCCGATTTAAAGGCCGGTCTCAAGGGGTCGGCAGCCAGGGCAGCTCCTGGAGGCCCCCAGCCACGGGCAGGCTCTGTTAAGCGAAGGAAGATGCATCGTATGGTGGGAAAGAGCTACAGGTTAACTTCTCCAGGCTCTTATAAGTCATGTCAGCTCTACCAAATATTCTGTTAAGCATCATTTAAAAAAAAAATAATCAAATCTTATTAAAAGAATTACGTAATATGAGCTTATGGTTGGGATGTTCAATTGATAAAAATGTCAGGAAATTCCCAACTGCAAATCCATAAAAAACACAATACACATATGCAGGTTCAGTTCTTGCCTGTCTTGGTACAGGCACGGTTTTACCAGAATTCATCTTGCAATGCACATTTAGTTCATAAAGCATAGTCCTAGGTTAGCACGAGGATTTTAACACTTTGTCTGCTTTTATAACACTAAAAGGACGAGCCCTCAGTGTCATACTTTTATGAGCGTCAAAGTTGCCACCCCATTTCAAGGGCATTTATTTTCACATCAAATACACACAGTCCCAATAGCAGCTCTGACTTGGACTTTCAGAGAATACAAATGATGTATAAAATTGCCAAGACTGGTTGTGCTCTCGGGAGAATTGCTACAAGACGATGGCAATCCTGAAGCTTCCTGAAAATGGAACTTGCAGACTTTTACGATTGAGCGTATCTGTTCCTAAAGCTTTTCAGATCAAACACCAGGCTGGAGTGCAACTCTGCTAATAAATGTAAATAAATAGTTTAAACTTGGCAAAGCAATTATAAATGCTCAGTTTGCAAAGCAGCTGTGATTTTTTCATTCCAGTATGCTATAAACAAGTATTTTGGAGCTCGCTCCCCCTGCCTTCCTATCAAGCCCATATGTTCTTTTTATGTTAAACCCAGCAGGAGGGGTTCATGCCATTTAACGTAAGAGTTCTACAGTGCAGACATCTACGTTGGAGTTTGTCACTCTAGGTCCTTTTCAGAGTCAGTGGAGAGAAGCTGGTACTTCTGTGGTGTGATTCATCTCCCTCTGAGATAGATGGCTAAAATAGGTCAGATGAAACGCAGCATGCTAAGTGCCTATTCCTCTTCACTGACCGTAAATAGCGCCCAGACAATTAGCTCAGACGTACACATCTACACGGTGGTCATGTAAAGCTGGGTGAGATAAAGCCCATCCCAACACGTGTTTATTCTCTGCAACTATTATCTACCGAGCATTAGGAATTAATTCATCTACAGTTGCATTCTGTAGCTCTAGGAATACAAGAAGACAGAGAAATACTAACATCGTTATTTCCCCGCTCCTCTTGCAATGAGCACAGCTCTGAAGTTTTGGGCTGAGGTGCTAGAATACCCCCCTGCCCCCGGTGTGATACAGAGATATATAAGAAAGATACATAAGAACGAACATCAAAGAAAAGTGTGGCAAAACATTACGAAGCATACAAATCTGCCAGCATGTGAAAACTGCATTACAGCCTTCCTCCTTTCATTAATTAAAGGCGGTTTCAATATGATGAAGTTCTTAAACACCGATGAGAGCCATCAGAATTGAAGTTATTAAAGTCAGTGCAATACAACACAGGCATATTTATCCGCCAAGTAAACCCATGGTGAAGCGTGCAGCTCCAACACATGCTACAAAACTCATCGTTGCACAGAAAACGTGACATCCCATCAGTTACAGGATTAGAGAGCTGGTTGGTTACAAGTTGCTTTCAATGATAAAGCATCTATTCATTCTATAAAATGGTAATTATTATATCAAGCTGGATATGTTAATATTAAAACAAAAGATTTGACTTGCTGAACTATACGATATAAATTAACATTCATGTGGGATTTTATAATCTGAATCTCATTTACTTACAAAGACTTTGACCCAAATCACTGAACATCTCAATTTGGGTTCGAAATAAAAAGTCTTTTCAAAATCTCTGATCGCACAACTTGAAGGGGAAACTGAAAAAAAAAAATTTTTTTTTTAAAAAAACCCAACACGTATTATTCCACTACAATGGCTTTTGTTCTCTTTCTGAATCTCAAAAGATTACTAAATCACTTACTGTATTACAATCAGACTGAAAAACCTGTCTTTTTTTAACCTCAAAAGGAAATCAAGATTTTTTTGTAAAACAAACCTGGCATCAGAACTAAGATAATATGAAGTTAAGTTCCACAGAATTACAATTTCCAAGGATAGAAAAAAGTCAATGTTTTTTACGAAATAATTTCTTTACAGTGGAATTGTCATACTAAACATGCAAAACTGCTTTCCCACCTGAGTCCAAGCTTTAGAAGATAATGGCTGAAGTTAGGATTGAAAGGCCCTGAAACGGTTAACAAAGGCAATGGATACACAATCAAACTAAATTCCATTTTTATAAGAAATCCTATACATGAATTTAAATCAATAAAATGACGTATGGGGAGGACGGACACAGGACGAGAACATTTTTCTGATTTCAACATAGACTCAAGTATAACATAACAGGTTTCCTAGGAACAAAATTTCAGTCCCAGTTCAGATCACTGTTTTGAGGAGGTTTTTCTTTTTAATTCAAGAGATCATATTGAACGTTTTAGGAACTTGGATGCTTTGGCTTTAATCATTCTACATTCTATAAAGATTTTGTCAAAAGCAAAGATGCAAATAAAACTATTTCAGATATTGTTAGTACATTTGGTTGCTTTTAGGATGTTGTTCTTAATCTGAGATGATAATGCATGATGCAGAAAAGATACTGTGTTGAACAAATCACGTTCATCCACGTAACTTATTTCGGGGTCTCTTCACTAGAACATTTACAGGTCTCGTCATACTCCATTTAAAAATTACCATTTCAATTTCTTGGAGAAGACAGAGAACAAGCTAAACTACTGAAATTTCAAACTAAAAATGGAAACTATCTGACCCATGCATAACGCAGACCAGAGTAGTGCAAAGCCACCAGGGTAAGTTTTTCATTTTATCTCATTTATTTATGAAATACTCCTGTTATTCTATTCACGTTTGTCTTGCACAGAAACTGCTAAGCTGTGCTGAATCTCTGCATAATATTCTTACAATTTAAACTCAGGTGTTCAAATGAAACCTCTCATTTAGCGATCTGAATCTGCCAGGCACCAAAACCTGGACCTTACAGTACTAAGTTAAAAGAACCACAACTTAAACCACACTTGTAAGCCACGTGGATTTTCACTGACTAATTTACACTAGTCTCATCTGAATCATCACCACCTAGAAATAATTCTGTATTTTCAAACATGGTCATTCACATTTTTATATATTTTTGAACTCCTTAACCCTCAGTGGAACTCCCCTCTTTCAATTAGATAACCATTGTGGATCAAATTATGTTTTCACTTGGGAATAGCCATCCTTTCCTGAGTTGATGCAACACAACAGTTTACCTGTGCTAATTTTGCCTACGCCGAGCATTAAAAACCTTGACAAATGCTTTGTAAGCCGCCACGACTTTGCCGGAAACAATACAGCTGCTGTTGAAGCAAAGAATTTCCTTACATGGGTGGAGGTAACATAACAAAAATTACAT